CAACACCGCATTGTCGAAAATATTTTAGTTGGCTAGAGAATGTCCGAATATGCCCTCCATTAAATTTTCAAAGTGATCCGTTGTCTGCTTCACCAGAAACGTCTAATGTGCCATCCACCGTGAATCAGCCTGTATATACTTTTCCAAAAGTGCACGGTGTGCGATAAACCTCTGCTGCTGAGAACGAACCTCTGAGAACGAAACATGATTTGGTGAGTTGAATCTCAATTCGTAGTCTATCCACAATCCCACAATTTCAACGTGCTCAACCAATGGCAGAGCTTTGCACAGAAATTTGATATTTGATTGTTTAACTGCAGCTTCACGTTTCGGTTTTGACCGGAAAATACAATTTTTGAGGCATTCAATTTCAGATTATGAAATGAAGATATATTGAACAATTTTTCAATCCACATTTATTTCGTTGAATTCATCAAAAACTTATTCCCAGTATCGCAAATTATGAAATGAATAACATTTTTCTTGACATTCAACTATGGATTATGGGTTGCAGCAAGTAAATTTGATATTTCTCTGACTATGTTGTATCACTGATAGAAATGAGGACTTGGTCAACATTTGAACAAGCAATGACGAGTGACTAGGTGCAGTATCGTGATACAAAAGCCATGAATTGTTTTTTCACAATACTGGACGTTTTCTCAGTATTGCTTTATATGTAATTGATTTCCATGGTGTACTTTCCACGGAATGTGGGTTTTTTTGTGTTCATATTTGCATTAAGGTGAGTTATATCCAATCGAGTCATTTTTGACCCAAGAATACTTATGTGGTTTCATTTATGAACTACATTTTCGTTAAACCCTGTATATTCATATATACATATACTTTATTATTGAATAGACAATTTGTAAATGTAATGATGGCATAACATTTTTCCAAAAGTGAACACTAAAATTGAAAATAACCATTTGGATCTTCAATTCATGAGCCATTATGTGGATATATTTCTTTACTTACATTAATTTATTTTTGAATGTGAACAGTGGAATGTAATCTTGCAATGTCCCTTGTCGAAAACTCAGTGCCTCTGTGAATTAATTGAAAGGAATGCTGGAATCAATTGGATCTCTCTATCATCTATTCATCAAGAGTACAATCAGTTGAATTTTCTTTACAAAACATTTCAAATGGAAAAAAGATCATATAATCACACCAGAGGTTTATATCCATTTTGTCATAAAGTATATAATGTCAACTCAAAGTCGAAGTAGCAAAGGGAGTAATTTTAGTATAAAACCTCAAAATTAACGAACTGAATTTTAACGAGGAGATACGTTCTGATTTCCACACCAACGTCATTATATTTTTTTTTCTGAAATTCCCCACACATCAGAAGTTGAAACACTGAAGGATGAAAATATTTCTCACGAAATCAAAAACGTCATCAATCAAACATTCTCTACGAGCGTCATACCTTGGCAATGGAAAATCAGCAATGTAGCACCAATTTTCAAAGCAGGAAAAAATCCCAAGTCAATAACTATAGACTTATATCTATCATAAATACGCTAGCCAAAATTTTCGAATAATGCATAAAAAAAAACTACTTAATTTTCTGGATAAACATCATATAATAACTGACAGGCAAGGCAATTTGCATTAGTGAAAAATTCAAACACTGAAAATTCCATAATGGATTTTGTCGAAATCACTGTGAAGACTATGTATAGCCCAACCAAATGCTTGGCCGTTTTCCTGGACCTGGCCAAGGCTATGAACTGTTGATAAAAAAATTGAACAACTATGGTATTCGAGGCAGTACTTTGGCTTTGATGAAGAACTACCTATCAAATGAATCCAACGAGTGGAAATTGAAAATGAAATAAGTGGCGATTTACAAATAGGTATACCACATGAAACCGTTTTGGGACCGATACTTTTTCTTATTCACATTAACAGTATAACAAAAATCAACAATTCAATAGGCGATATAATATGCTATGCCGATGACACTACTCCAATTTACATGGCAACATCATGACATGAAATAAGAGAGACAGTAGAAACAAATTTACAAAAAATATACATTTTGTTGAATAGTACTAAACCATCACTGAATGTGAAGGAGATGAAGTATCTGACCTTTTCCCCCACCCTTCCTGATCAACCCACAAACTACAAAAAAATGCATATATCGCACTGTGCTAATCAAAATACTTGTGAATGTCAGACTATAAAACGAACCACATCTATAAAATACCTAGGAGTTATATTAGATCAGCACCTAAAATGGACGGAACATATCAACATTGTTACAAAAAGGCTCAGAGTATTAAGGCACACTTCTTATGAACTACGTGGCATACTTTATACCTCTCTTGTCGAATTTCTAATAAAATATTGTGTTCTTGCTTGGGATGCAACCTTCAAAAATGCTATCAGCCCATCACAAACCGTTCAAAACATGCTATTGAAAATCATCTACAGGAAAATAGACTATTTTCAACAAGAGAGTTTTATCAATAAACCAACAAGTTAAATATTCATTCATTCATTATACACTTATCACTGCCTAATAAGAATGTTCCATGAACGAGCAGATTTCACGCAGAAACATGCAAGAGAAACTTGATCAAAAATGAACCAGAACGTGAAAATGTATTTCTTCAATAAAACGGTCACCCAGAATTCTTTTTTCTTTTATGGTCCAGAAATATTCAACATCCTACCTAAAAATATAAAAGATATAACACCCTTCAAACTATTCAAAAAAGAGGCGAAAAAGTATGTACATAATCACTTTATACTGAAATAAATACTTATAATTGTATACAGTGTGGTCCACTGAGTCTGCAACAAATGGGAAACTTTTTTATCATCGATTTCTCAGAAAATTTCATTACTGACAAAAATTGGTGCATGTTCCATAACTATACCAAGTGTACCTGAAATGGCTTTATAACAAACACCATACAGGATAGGCCATAGAAATATTCCTTTTGGAAAATTTTGAANGAGTTCACATGTTGCTTCTTGGCTTCTTTATAAATATTGTCATAATCACGTGAAAATTCTCGCAAAGAGTATAGATGTTTCAAATGATAACTTGATAATTTGATGTTATCATCTACCCAGTATTTTTTGTTGAATTATTCGAGCAATAACTGCGTAAGGGGAAAACATTGGAGTAGTGAGAAAAAACAACGTGACAAACTGAGAAAAAACATCTTCTCAGTTTTCCTTTGAAATTTCACTCAAAAAATTTTGAATCATTTCATCATTCTCCTCCTGATAGTTGGTGTCGGAGGTTTTATATCGTTTTCAATGCCCAATCGGTATAAAATAGTGCGATGATCAGATATATTGTTATCTAGATTCTACCTACAGATAAGGAAAAGGCTATTGATTTTACGAACAAAAGATCGAAAATATTCTTCAGAAAAAACAATACAAGAAGATTGTACGGGACTCAACTGGATCAATTGAAGGAAAGCTGTACCAGTTGCACCTCACTTGTATGGACTACCCAAAATCCATAAGGAGGGTGTTCCGTTCAGACCTATCATTAGCTCCAGAGATTCAGCTACTGAAAACTTGTTTGAGATTTTTACCTTCCATAATACAACCACTACAAGGAGGTACTTCATCTTTTGTAAAAAATTCAAGGCATTTTGTCGAATTACTAGGAGCAATCGAAGTCACAGAGCAGAATCAATCAATCTATTCCGACGTGGAAACCATTTACACCAACGTTACTGTAGAAGGAGCACTTCAAATTATACAGAGGAAGGTATCTGAAGACCACGCCTCAACTCAAGATACGAGAAAACATTTCAACGTCAGATTAGTGGTTATCAATTGAATATGTAATATGTGAATTTAATTGAATAGAATGTAGTTTTCAGTATGTGTTCTTTAACATTCCCTATAATTGGGTGTACATCTGTTGAAAATGAAGTGCTATCTATCTATCTATAAATGGAAACGGTTTCATACATGAAAACGCTTGAGAAAGCTATTGTATAGCGAAACACGTGGAACGGTTCTGTAAATCTCTCAATGAAAACTGAAAAAGTTATGAATTTTTATCTAATATCGACAAATTCCATAATATATCTCATCTGTATTGTTTCCTCTGTTTCTGAAGTAATTTGTATCGCTACTTAATTCAGAACGGTTGTGATCACTATTTATCATCCTATTACTTACTTCAAATATTTATATCCTAGAAATTTTCCGAACAGCATTGTGAATAGTCACTGAATAGTATCTGCGAGTACTGAAAATATTTATAATATTATTTCCAGGAGCATATAACAGGGCCATTCTGCAAAGTGGAACTTCTTTATGTCTCTGGGCACTACACAGAAGAGCTAAAAGAACAGCCCATGACATTGCAAGATTTTTCCATGTAGATTCATGGAACACAAGTAGGATACTTGAAGGGCTGAGGAAAGTTGACTACAAAACTTTACAACAAGTTTCCATTGGAATAGCGTCGAGAGTAAGTTATTCGATGATCTTCTCGAAATATATTCGATGGGTTGATGGCATTATACTCATGTATCACATTTTTTATATTCTTCAAAATTGAATTTATCTTGGTGAAGAAGGCCACTCAACCAGTAGAAATTTTTACTAAAGAATCTTATCGAACAGTTCATGGAGAAATCATACGATAGTGGTATATTAGTCATTTTTTGATGGTTCACAAAAAACTTATGAGTCTTGTGGAGAATGAGGTAAATTTTAGAAAATAATAGTTCACGATTTCATTTCAGTAAACAACTGGATTCAGGGTTTACCTGAAAAATTTTTCTTCCACTATTCCATTGTTTATCTTCATTTGTTCTTTATTCAATTCTCATTATTCGCATTCAATTGAGATTTTACGTATTCAACTCAATATTCAATTCATTTTCATTTCAGGCTACAATAATTTGTTTTCTTTATGAATAGAACTGTTATATTTTCATAATTCATACTATTTTCTTATTAGTCAGTGGGCTATGCTTGAAGACTGGCAGTAAACAAATCTAAAGAAATGAACTTTAGACGTTCAAGCCAGTCTCGGATATACCTACACAGTAGGTTAATCAACTGACGCCTATCAGAAAACAACTACTCCCCTGGCTAATACTACTAAGGGCGTTGCACTGACGCCTGTCGGATATAATCCAACGCCCTTCGTGGTATTAGCCAGGAAAGAAGTTGTTTTCTGATAGGAGTCAGTCCATTCAACCTACTTTTCTATTAGCCAGGAAAGAAGTTGTTTTCTGATAGGAGTCAGTCCATTCAACCTACTGTGTAGGTATATTCGAGACTGACTTGAACGTTTAAAGTTTATTTCTTTAGATTTCATACTATTTGTTTATTTTTTCCCAGTTTTCTCTATTATTTCTTTCAAACAACTCATAGAATATTCGGCACTGGACTTTTTATAGTTTTACTATCCAATAATTTTTATGTAACGGGCTTGTTTCAAAATTTACGTCCTAAGTATCATCTCCGACAGAAATTCCAGATAGAAGATGTCTCAAAAAAAACTAATCAATACAGTTTATTGTATGATTTTCACTATAACATTATAGTGAAAATCATACAATAAACTCTATTGATTGTTTTTTTAATATGGCTTTTCATCAAGTATCGGCCAGTTCTATTCAATAATAGAAGACGTCTCAGTTTTTCTATGGAGCCTCGATTATCGCTGAAATGCACCATTGCCTATCCTTGTGAGTGTACTAACCCTCCTTGTAATATCACGTAACGAGCCACCAGTTTCAATTAGTCCTGATTCTGAAAATAATACTCTCTCCAGGTGTGTCTTACTCCCAAGTCGCCTTCATTCCACCACTGTAAGTCCGTATGCTGAATTGTATCTTACTTCTGATGAGTTTTGTTCTCACACCGAGTTGACAACAATAACAACAAAAATGGCGTCTGTCAAATTGGATCTTCAGATCTGTGATTGGGTATTAAAAACCAATACAGTTGGCAACTCCACTCTAGACACGATCAATTTTATTGGTCAACAGACACGCGGCCAATTTAAATTCTTGCTTTTGGAATTATTCTTTTTTCTGCGGATATGAGGAGATCTTGGGGCCGATTAGGCTTGATAAGTATAATATACCCCTAACTCGATCAGTCTGTAAGCAAACCAGTATCATTTTCCATATCATGAAACAAGCCCATTCTCCTTCGCATATATTCCAAATCTCTTGACACCTTTCTATCCAACAGAGGCTTGAACTTCTGATATGATGTACTAGTGATTAATTTTTATTACATTAGGAATAGCAGATACTCTAAACGGAGGAGTAACATATGGGTCCAGCTCTTCTGTGAGATCTGAAATAACCAATTCATTGACATTTTGGAAAACTGTTTGCCATGCAATGTAAAAGAGATTTTGAATCTCTTTTTTGTGAAATTTTCGTAGATAATTTGATTATCTAGATATCCGTAAATGATCAAATTATCTACGAAAATTTCACCTAATCAAAGACAAATACAAAAACAACTATATTGGCAAATATAAGTTTGTCCGATAGGTTCCAAATATGTAAGTACATTCCAAATATGTAAGGGGTAACAGGTGCAGAGCCCCCGTTATGATGTGACCAAAACACTTCTGATATTTGTATCCATTCTCTTACGTCCTTAGTATCAGACAGAAATTTCAGATAGAAGATGTCTAAAAAAAAACTAATCAATACAGTTTATTGTATGATTTTCACTATAACATTATAGTGAAAATCATACAATAAACTGTACTGATTGGTTTTTTAATATGGATTTTCATCAAGTATCGGTCAGTTCTATTCAATAATAGAAGATGTCTCAGTTTTTCTATGGAGCCTCGATTATCGCTGAAATGCACCATTGCCTATCCTCGTGAGTGTACTAACCCTCCGTGTAATATCACGTAACGAGCCACCAGCTTCAATTAGTCCTGAGTCTGAAAATAATACTCTCTCATTTCATACTCTCTCCAGGTGTGTTTTACTCCCAAGTCGTTAATTCTTCTAGACCGCCTCCATTCCACCACTGCAAGTCCGTATGCTGAATTGTATCTTACTTCTGATGAGTTAGTCTTTGATACTTGATATTTTCACTCACAAACTATACGCAGTTCCAAAAGGAAAACTTATGCGAATGTGTAACAATCCGTCTATATTAAACACGTTTGTGAGTGGTTTTTCTCTTTGTACATCAACAATATGTTTTATAATTCAAATGTTTTCACGGCTCAACGTATTCAACCTCACTTCTCATTAGAACCAATCCCATTTATTTGAATATAATTTACAAATTTTCATCTTCACACCTATAGAATTCCTGTAGATGAGCTAAAAAAATTTACAAAGCTTGAACGTTACTCATTTTTTGTTTGTTTACGACTACAATATCTGATCCAAATCTCTACCTGTTTCTTCAACTTAGCACGTCTAACATATATATGATAAGAATCCAAATATATGTTGTACCCATATCAAAATAAGCTACATTGAACAACTCATTTGTTCATTTCAGATAGCCTTAGAGAATCCGCTAGCAGGAATACAATTTGGTCCAGTCATAGAACCATATCACAATGGCGCTTTCTTTTACAACTATAGTGAGAAAGGTTTATCTGAAGGTTATTTCGATCATGTTCCTACAATAATAGGAGTGAACTCGAATGAAGGAGCTGCAACAGGATCGATACCAGGTGAAACAATGATTTTTATTCGTTCTATTATTCGAGTTATAATATTTTTCATCTTTTTGAGTTTGTAGATCGTTATCCTATCAATCAATAGTCTACATAATTTATTTACAGGTAGTTAAAAAGGTAAAGTACCACATATTCCTTGAAAGATTCAAGAAATGAAACTGCCAAACTTGATATCAAACTAATATTATATAAACATTCCTCCTGAATATAAATATGCAAGTACATCGATGTGATTTTCTTACTATTGGTGTTTGAATTTGGGACTTAGTACTTCGTAACTCCCATATTAGATTTTTTGAATTATATACTTTTCGGAAGGATAAATAAATTATTCACATTTTTTTCGATCTATAAGTGTTCATTCCGAAGGCAACAAACGATTGCTTTGAACCACCTGACAGTGAAACAGTCTATTTTTGAACTCATCTGCAACATTCTGAAATTCTAACATTTCAGAATGTTTTTGGGGTAATACTAGAACCCAGGTTGTGTAACATAAACTCTCGATTTATTATAGCCGCGAAGAAAAGTTTCGGAAGGAGTAAAATCTAGTGAACGAGCAGGCCATTCCAGTGGGCCGCGTTCGCCAATCCACTTGGCTGGGTATGTCTGATCCAACCAAATCCCAACAAAACCAAAAAAAGGTGGGAACGCACCATTATGTTGAAAAACAACTGGATTTTTGGAATCATGTTCATTGCCGGTAACATATCTTGAATCCGTCGGTGAAAGAATTTTGGAAAATTCTAAAGTATAAATGGCCAGTCAGATTCTCCCTACAATATGCCTGTTCAGGACTTTGGGTGTAACCTTCTCGAAAAATATGTGGGTTTATTCTTTGAAAGAATGTTTTTGCGGAGGGCACAATATTTCTTACTGATTTTTTGGTATTCAACCATCCACAATCTGAAAAAACAAAGAGAATCTGTTGAAGAGTAATGATGGGCGAACTGAAAGTTCACTTCGAAAAGTCATTACGTAATATAAACCACTGAGAAATAAAATTATTTAGCAACCTGTCGTTTTCATAAATTTCAAAAACTCAATTGAAAAAAATAAGTTTTTCATACTTAGCTTTTTGAATGTTAGACGTTTCCGAAAAAATCTTTTTTGCAAAACCCAAAATTCACTTAGAAACTTTCAGCACAATTTTGAAAAGCTGTATTTCTTTTGACATACGTTTTACTGTCAGGAGCTACAAAGCAAATAAAATGAAATAAATAATAACAAAATTGAATTAAGAGATTTTCTTTTCATACAACTCTGTTTACATTTCAGATTGAGAAATGTAGGTTTATATCTGACCGATATCAAACATTTTGGCGGTTGACATCTCCGTTTGAGAAAAAAATTACATTCGTCACTGAATCAAATGCTCACGTTCTATTTCTATAAGAATATTTTTGTGTTTGGATAAAGTCCTAATTTGTTTTCGTATTCATGGGAGTCCGTTATAACTGTTGCATTACTATCATCTGCGGGAAGAATTTCAATATTGCTGTCAGATCTGAGATATTTGAGTTCAATATTTTGAAATTCTTCAAAATTAATTTTGATTCGATATGATCGAGAAAAAACGGTTTTGCGATCTGATTTGATATCACTAGCAATTTCTGTAGGTAAATTCTGAGCTATGGATTCTATAGCGGTAATTAGATCTAAAGTTGGAACTATTTTTGGAGCAACTGCCAAATTCAATTCTTTCGGTAATACGAGTTTTTCCTTCATATTTATTCCTCTGAAAGATAAATTTTCCAGCGTTTTTCCGTGCATGCATCCATGAATGCAATCATAGATGTAATTATGATCAGACGGAAGAAGATGTTGAATCATATATTATTCTCAACTAATAATTTAATTTCCAAATAGTATTATATTGTGACGATGAAACTGTATTCTTTCTCTGACCAATACATGGCCAGTTATTTCCAAAATTCCTCTACATTGTGAACCATTATGAGTAATTGTCAATCGGAGGTTCCTAAAAATTATTTTATTATCTCTACATCTACAAAAAAAATTTAAACTATTGCGAGAGTTCAACAGTTTTTGATACAGATTTTCTAAGATTTGAAAGTCCCTAACACATTATGGCCCATAACGTGAAAAACATTTTTTGTGGAGAACTCAATATTTCTTACTTTTTTTGGGTTTACAAACTTTCATAATCTGAAAAATGAACAAAGATAAATCTATAGAGAATCTGCTGAAGTATATTAAAGTGCAAACTGGAAAGTTCACCCCAAAAAGACTATATTCATGTTACTTGCAAGTATAAATGAATATTTTGATTTATTAGATCAACATACTGTTATTTGAATATTCATAGATAGGAAGCATTGACTTCCAATTCAGTACAACTTAATTTTGAATTTTTCCAGAAATGAGTGTTCTAAAATCCTGAAAAATAATCGTTATTGTAATGTTCTTGATGTCCAAGTTTGCGAATTCTTGAAGAAACTTGCTCCTGGTTTCAGACGCTGAAATTTCAAAGTTGAATCACATCATATTCTCAACATGAATAACTCTACTCCACGTATATCTCCTTAAGTTTTCAGATTCACTCTCAGCTTCTGCTGATGTTTTTAGCTTCGCTCCTTTTTTTCGGTAATAACGAATGAATACATGATCTATAACATAAAATTTTATTTTCAGCACTGATTCGATTGTATTTATTGAAATATGACATACAGTTTAAGCTTCTTGCCCCAGAGGATCTCACAAAATATCTTCTGGATCGAAGAATAGCTGCATTGGCTATAAAAACGCGTTACTTCAACATATTTCCGTTGAGCATACAAACTGAGTCCGTTATCAAAGTAAGTAACTTCTGAATTAAAAAAAATCTTTGAGAGCTAGCTCAGGTTCACACCAAGTATGGAAATTCGATGTAATTATCAAAAGCAAGTGTGATTCACATAAAAATTCACGGAGGCTTTTCTGAAACAAAACTGAGACGCTGTTGAAACATATGTCAACTCAAATGTTCAGAAATTACAAGTTCATTAAAAAATTCCACGCTGATCTTAACATTCAGAAGTAGAGTAAAGACAAAATTTCACTACTTGAGGATGAATTAATTTACCATGACCTCGTTCTCCGACCTTTTATTAGTTTTTAATGAACTGATGTCTACTGGAGGTCCTTGCCGATTGTTGGACGAACTGGAACGAAACCACCCTTATGTCACTCATGATTTCTTCCCAACCTGAAATGAAGTATGGTTTTGATAGTTTGATTAGCAGTTTGGCTTGATTGATTGGATCACGGGGAATCAGACTTTTTCATTCTGTGCAGAATTCAAGTTCACTTACTTCAATTTGAAGTAGTGGAATGGAACTTTTCACTATTTTGTTTTTTTCTCTACCTCCACAATAACATTATCACCATGTCACTTATACACACACAGATGGCAGATGGCCTTTCCTCACACTCTCACTTTACTCACTTCAGGGGCGTATAAAATCAATGAAGTAATTCAGAACCATCCATTTGCATTATCAAACCATAGGGAAACAGAGATAATAAAAACTATACAACAAAAAAATGAGAGAAAAAAATCAAAATGAACTTAAAAAATCCTCTTCAGACACTGAACTCATTTTAACTGAATAAAAAAATTGAAAAATCACCAACCATGAACCCCTCTTGCCCTAATAGGAACATATAAAGAAGAAGAACCCCGTAAGACCAGTACAGCTTGTCAACTATAGGAAGAGCTTTCTGAATTCCGTTATGGTCCCGCCCACTAGATGAGTGTTCGTTAGAAGATTATAGTAGCGAGAGAGAGAGAGAGAGAGAGAAAGAGAGAGAGAGAGAGATACTTCTCAAGTCTCTGCTTGGATTTGACAAGTTGTAGTTTCTTTTATAAACAGTCCGGTAAAAGAACTAGGAATGCGTCTTAACAAGTTGTTATTAATAACAATATTAATAACTTCGTCCCACGTCACCGCATTAAAAATTCACTGACTTGAGGTGAGGTTAAGTTAGGTCAAGAGTGAGTGGGTCCGATTATTTTGTATGGTGAGTGGTCCTTCAGGTCAGATGGTAAGAGTTCGACTCTGCTGAACTCTAAAAAGCTGATTCGGTCCCCAGCGGGGCAGGCACAAAGTATGTACTCTGCTGTTTCATCGTTTACCAAACAGAGGCGACACGCACTGTCATCCGACAGTCCGAGTCTCTGCATATGATGATTCAAATGACAGTGACTTGTGAGAGGGCATGTTAGACATCGTAGTTCATTCCTACTGTAGAGTCACAACTTTTTGGTATCAAGATTCGAAGGGTAAGTAAACGCCTTGGAGTGAGCCAATCCCGGAAGATTCAGCCAGAAGTCTATGAATCTTCTTGCCATCCAGGTGTTCACTCTTTGTTTGGAAAGCATAAAGCGATGCCAATTACAATTTCTGGTATGATGAAGATGCTTGCAGCACCCTCCTTTACAAAGGAGTCAGCAGCTTCATTGCCTTCCAAGCCAGTATGGCCAGGAATCCAGACCAGAGACAATCTGTTGAGTCTTTCTATCGAAGATTGTCGTTTTTGGCAATTTCCTACAATTTAAACGTTGCTCGGTAGGAGCCAAGCTATTTTTATTGACTTATGTATGGGTTTGGATTTTTCAAATCTTTCAGCACACTCAATACCGTGATTTTCCGCTTTAAATACAGTTGTATAGGCAGGTTTCCTATGCAACTGTATTTCAGCGAAAATATAGTTGCATAGGATCTGCGACTGAAAACACCTGCACCAGAACCGGAAGGTGTTTTTGAACCATCTGTGAAGCAACAAATATCTGCTCTTAATATGTCCTTCTCTCTGAGGATCCAGTCCTCTCTACTCGAGGACACTACTTTATAAGACAGCTCATAGTTAACAGTTGTAGGCATAATCAGAGGTCATTTCCAGAATGCTGTGACTTTCAATGTCAACCAACAGTCTGTTGAAACTCTGCATTAAATTGATTCGTGCAATTGGCAAATGTCCACAAGTCTATATGTAGTCCGTCTAGCCTCTCTCTCCAGAAAAATATGGAGAGGAGTTAGATCTAGAAGGATCTCCATGACCGCTGACGGTGTCGTAATGATGGCACCACTGATGGCTAGACATGCTTGTCTCTGTAAGCAAGAGAGCTTCGCCTGGGCCATTTTCTGTGAAGCCTTCGGCCACCAGACAATTGCACAACAAGTGATCATTGGTCTGACTTAAATACTAAGTTCCAACACAAATCCTTCGACATGTCCATAGAGACCGTATGGCTTAGTGTAAAACTTTGTCCAAGTGAGAGTTCCAGGTGAGTTTTTCATCAAGGACAATGCCAAGATATTTCACCTCTATTCCAAATGGAATGACCTCACCATTGAGAAAAGGTGTTAGATCGTCCAATTTTCTCCTTCTGGTGAAAGAGAGTATTACAGTTTTGCTGAAGTTGACAGACATCTGCTCCCTCAGGCACCAACTGTGAACAAAGTCCATTGTGCTTTGGAGGATATTACAAGCTACCCACTGACTTTAATGGAGGAAATAAGTAACCAAACTACGCCACATAATACAATTTCAGTTCCATTCGATGTAAAGAGTGTGTTTTGCAACATATCGTACAACAAATGTAAGCCTCTCACTTTAGATATATTAGATCTATCCAAAGTAGACCATATCACTTCTTTTGAAATTTCGACAGCTTTCGGTGAATGCCCGAATCAGAGTTACTCACAGTTCAACAATGAATTCAATAAACAGAATTCAGGTTTATCAATGGGCTTTAGCAGACATATTTATGAACAGCTACGGCAGCAAAATCCCATGCTTTTACTTATGAAACCAAGACCTAACATTTAATATATTATTCAAAACAATACACACTTCTAGAAACAGTAAACCTAGAGAAGATCCAACGTAAAGAATATTACCTGATGTAACCCAAATACAGGCAAATTCAACTTAAGTACCTGAAGTACCTACACTAAGGCATTTGGACCGCATAAAAGGACAAACAAAAGGTTGACGACACATTCAGTTTGAGTAGAGCCTTGATGATGATATATATATATATAAAATGGGAGTTTACCATTAACAATCTCAAAAGAAATATTATACTCTTGAAGAATCTCATTATCATATTTACATAGGAGTATAAAGTCGATTTACATATTTACATATCCAAATTCTGGTCCATAATTAACCCGATATCAGTTGACAGAAATAACACAAGTATATTATTACTAACTTTCATTACAGTTCATCAGTGATGATCAATTCAATAGACCGGTTCTTAGAACAGCAGGGAATATGGCAAAATATTCCCCTGTATATTTTTATGTATTTTCCTATGAAGGACGTCTAGGTGGTGTAGAACAACGGACAGTTCCAGGTGAGGCAATAGTGAAATAATATCAATCACACAGATGTTCAATGTCACCTTTTATTATTTTCCTCAAGTGATAAATGTAAGACAAATATGTCCGCAGTTCACGAACTGACAACCAGCATTCTTTCATGCAGCATAATAAATGAAATTCATTTTAGGAGTACGTCATACTGAAGACCTCGGATATATATTCAGAGGGTTTCCAACAAGAATTAATAACATTTCTGAAAGTGACAAATTAACGAGCAACAGAATTATCAAATTATGGACGAACTTTGCTAAATATGGGTAAGAACCGTTAACAATAAACATAAGAAAAGTAGTTCTTCATCGAAGAAATGAATGTTCGTACATTATCGGGATAGAGAAAGTATAATCAATATACTTTTGACGGCAGATAGATTTGATGAATACGTATGTTAATATGTTCTTTTAGAGAAACTCAAAATGAATGATCTATAGATTTTACGAAATCAAATATGTAGTGCAAGAAGATTTCAGTGGGAAAAGTAGGTTCGGAAACTTGGAGAAAATCAAATTCACATCATCACTAGTCACCTCAGAACATAATCTGTAGGAAGAAGAAAAAAATCGTAGTTCCAGCGAAACAACTGAAACGGAGAGTGTTTTCACAAAGTTCGGTATATTCCAATGGATGTAAAAAAATCATCTACTTTCTCACTTTCTAGAAATTATTCATTATATTATGAAATGTTCTTTGGGTAATTACATTACAAGAACTGTTCGTTAATCACAGATTCTCAAATAAATCGCAGTTGTAAATTGTATATACTTCAGATGTTCCGTATACGCTCAAAAAAATCTACCATAATTTGAACAACATATATGTAGATTTTTCAGGATAACATACTTTAACAACTACTTTTATTTGAACATTGAGTTATATTTCATATATTTATTCTCCAATATATAACACACTGTAGTATACTCTCGTCCCACGATCGTGTCACAACATTTTTAAGATACGTTTTTTTCTCCAATTTTATATGTCTCACCAGCCCGTTTCTTGCCCACTCTGCCTCGCTTGACTCATTCTTTGTTGTGTGAAAGTGTTCACATCTGTTAACGGAAAATGCCGAAACCAATGAAGACAGCCAAACGAAAACAAATTCTAAGAAAACTATTGAAGCTTATGGACAGTGATAGTTCAAGTTCAGAAGTGAACAATTTGACAATTTTTTTCTCATTCTAAGCTATCATATCAGGAGTAACGCGTTGATTCTACTTTATGTGAACCTTGTGAGGAAATGTGACATATTGTGTGACATATTACGTACCTCCTGAGGCAAGGGAAACAAAATATTTTCAAAATAGTAAACGGTTAATGAACAATTTGAGTTCATTTCCAGCAGCATAGTGATAAGCCAGCCGTAAGACTCTTCTTTTCAACTGAACAGTTATTTGCTCGATAAAAACCGTATCCCCGAGATGTCATAGTCCATGTTGACTTTCTCGACGAAAAAGTAATGGAACTAACAGGGCGAGGGTTCTCCAATAATACAGGTAGAAACCGATATCAACGTGTTAGGAGTTGAATCTTTCCTGAATGAACCACATGGGCCACCTTTGCAAGAAGAAATTATTTGGAAATGGACCCCTTATTTAACAAAAGGGGTGGACAAATATCATATAAAGGGGTTATTTGAAAAATACAAAATCCTTTCTGATTTTGATCTTCTTAGGGCTCCGGAGACTAATGCTGAAGTAGACGCACTACTGTCAGAAAGTCAGAAAAGGACGGATACCTACCTATTTAAAATTCAAAATACCTTGGATAGAGGCCTTTGCGCCATGGAAGAAATACTCACCAACTAACTGAAAGAAAACGAGTCCAGCGAAGATACAAAAAAACTCGCAGACGCTTCCAAGCTAGTAGCAGACGCTATACACTCCATGAGCATGCGCAGGTGGTTCGCCATATCTCCTGTATTATCACAAATGGCCTAAAAAGTAATTGAAAATGAAGAAATAAAAATAATTCAAACTCAAGGCGCCAGAACTTAAAACAAAGAAAAAGATCAAGAGAGTTCAACCACACTACACTTCTGGAATACAGAAGGAGAAAACCCATCGACATCTCAACGAATAAACCTCCAGGTTAGGACAAATTGCGGGGCGGCTGAATTTTTTTTATAAAGAATTTATAACTAATAGCAATTTCATTTTGAATTGTATTCAGGGTTATAAAATCTTATCCTTGAACATACCTACACAAAATATGTGATCCATATAAACGAATTGTACCAAAAGATGAACAAAAACTGATAATTTCTGAAATAAAGAAAGTTTTTCAAAAAGGTGTTATCAGAAAATGTAAATTGAAAAAAATGTCAATTTATTCCTTTATTAACTTTTTTCTTGAGGAGAAAACTTAATGGTTCATTCAGATTTATTTTAAACCTCAAAAATCTGAATGAATTCATTTCACCACCGCCCTTCAAATTAGAAAATCACAGAGTAGTTCTAAATTATTTTTCAATTCCGATATCTGAAACACATCGAAAATATCTATGATTCATATTCAATAAAGAGATGTACGAATTTTACTGTTTAAGTTTTGGATTATTCATTCAAAAAAATTTTAAAGCCTATGATTCAGACATTAAGGTTGAACAAAATAATATCAATCAGTTATCTTGACGATTTACTTATTTTGGGTAAAACATATGAAGAATGCCTAACTAATACAAAATTTACAAAAAAATCTTTTATAAAAATTGGGATTTGTAATAAGTTTTAAGAAAAGTTGTTTGACGCCATCCAGGGAGTGCCAGTTTTTTGCTTTTATTTTCAACTCATTTGATATGTCCATATCTACAAAAAAATGAAATAAATGAAAACCCTCTGTCATTATAAAAATAGGACAATATGTCACATCCGTGAGTTGGCGCACTTGATAGACAAACTCGTATCGGTCTGTGCAGCTATCACAAATGGGTTAACGCATACAAACAATTTAGAAAAGCAAAAATATCTGGCTCTGAAAAACAAGGGAGGCGATTATTCTTCTCAAATGTTGTTAAAATTCATCATTTTCAAAGTGGTGGCAATTTACAAAATCTTCAGAAATTGATAAATTCAAACCATCTGTTAAGCACGTTTTGGAATTTTTACCGAATGAACTCATTAGGAGCATCTTACCCAACGTTAAATACTCATCGCTCAGCCCTATCTTTACTTTTCTTTTTTTCGGAAACAGATGGAAAAATTATACGAAGATTTTTGAAAGGGGTCTTTAAAATTAGGCCAGTTTTTCCTAAGTACTCGTATACTTGGGATCCAGTCAAGTTCTGTTATACCGGGTGTCAACGAATCTATTAGACAAGTCATAACTTCTAGACTATTAGGTGTATCAAAACGAGATTTGGTACGCGATTCACATTG